TGCGGCTGCCGTCCTGGCGCTGTTGGAGAGGCAGAATCCTCTGCATCGGCTCTCTGAACTGGCGCGTCTTTGCCGAAAACGTGAGTGCTTCCCCAGAGGGGAGGAACTACGTTTTCGGCATCTTGGAGTCCAGCGTCCTCAAACTGAGGGGGCGGGACTCCAAGCTATGCTATGGGATCGAGCAGATCACCGTTAAGGTGACTCGATCTCATGGTGAGGGGGAGAGCAAGGAGGAGCCCCGATCTAAAGACTAGCTTGTATAATGGGCTGGTCGGTGATAGGGGTTACCCAGATTAACCTGCATCACAGCAAAGGAGCCTCGGCGGTTCTAGCCAGGAGCCAGTCTGTGATGCACACAGCCATTTCCTTGATACAAGAACCATGGGTTGTCCGTGGATGTGTCAGGGGGGTGGCAGCATGTGGGAAGCTTTTTAAAGCTCCCACCGAACAGAGGCCTAGGGCGTGCATAACGGTCAAGGGGCTAGATGCACGGCTCCTGCCGGAAGTATGTTCCAGGGACCTGACGGCAGTGGAGGGGACAGCGGTTAGTAGCGCTGGGGATGCCAGGAAGCTCGTCATCTGCTCGGCCTACTTCCCGCACGGAGAAGAAGTGCCGTCGCTGGAGTTAACCAGATTGGTGGATCTCTGCCAGAAGGAGGGACTGCCATTGCTGATAGGATGCGACGCTAACGCGCATCATACCATATGGGGAAGCACTGGAACGAACGAAATGGGTAGGAGGTTGCTGGAATACCTGGTAACTATTGACCTGGAAGTTCTGAACAGAGGTAACAAACCCACCTTTTGCACGGCGGGGAGGAGTGAGGTGCTAGATCTCACTCTCTGCTCGCGTGGATTCGTGCGAAAGGTGAGGGAATGGAAGGTGTCGGATGAGCCCTCGCTCTCCGACCGCAGGCAAATAACCTTTAAACTTTCAGATCTCAAAGTGGAGGTTAAGAAGGTGAGGAATCCAAAGAGGACGGACTGGGTATCCTATCACAGAGACCTGAGAATCAACCTCAGGGACTTTCCCAAGAAGTACGGCACGGCGGAGGAGTTAGAGCTCTGTGTGGATTATCTGCAGAGGGCTCTGATTGGCTCTTACGAAGCAAACTGCCCGGCCAGCACGGTGACAAACAACAGGGGAACTCCCTGATGGAACCCACGACTGCAGGGTCTTAGGGTCAAGGCTCGGAGGGCCTGGAACAAGGCGAGGAACACGGGCGACCCTCTGACTGGAATCTTTACAAGAGATCCCAGAAGGAGTACAGAGACTCTTTGGTGGAGGCGAAGAGGAAGAGCTGGAGGGACTTCTGCGAGTCGGTGGAGGGCATGCCAGCCACCACCAGGCTTTGCAGATTTCTATCCAAGAACCCGGAGGCAGCGTTGGAAGCGGTCCGAATGTCAGACGGCACCATGGTATCTAGAGAGAAATGCCTGGTGCATCTTCTGGAGACTAGTTTTCCTGGTTTCCGGAGGGATGTGGATAGGTGCGAAGAGGCTGACATGGGCTCCTTCGGGGCACGCGCCAGCGATTGGAAACTAGCGGCCGAAATTGTGAGGCCAACCAGGGTCAGATGGGCTCTTTCCGACCTTTTAAGGCGGGGCCCGATCAGGTGTTCCCGGCTCTCCTTTAGAGAGGGCTGGAGCAGGTTGTTGGGCCCCTTACAAAGGTGCTGAGAGCATGTCTGGCCCTCGGGTATACCCCCCAAGCGTGAAGGAAGGCGAGAGTCGTCTTCATCCCCAAGGTGGGGCAAGCGGAGTACGTCACGGCGAAGGACTTTAGACCGATCAGCTTGACCTCGTTCTTTCTTAAGACATTGGAAAAGCTGGTCGATGTTTACATGAGGGATTGTGTGCTGGCTCGGTATCCGTTGCATGCAGAGCAGCACGCCTACCGGGCTGGCCACTTGAGCATATCGGCTCTCCACACGGTCGTCCATAGGATTGAGAAGCAGCTCCAGCAAGGGAGCTTTTTGATAGGCACCTTCTTGGATATTGAAGGGGCCTTCAATAACACCCCACATGAAGTTGTATGTGCTG